GATCCGACCCGGCCCGACCCCGCCGCCTCACCTGGGCCGGGGTGGCTCGCGGGCGCGCTCCGAGAGCTCTCGGCGGGAGGGGCGGTGCAGGGGGCGGAGCCGAGACCTAAACGTCACGTGACGGCCCCTCCCGCGCCGGGCGAAGAGGCCGTCCCTCGCCCGTCCGTCGGTCCCGGCGCCTCGCGCCAGCCAATGGCCACCCGAGCCGCACCGTGCCGTGAATGGCGTGCGCCCGAGGACTACAAGTCCCAGACTGCCCCGCGGGGACGACCGGAAACGGCCGGAGACGGCGGCCGGCTGGGCCACAAAAGCTTCTCAGGCTGGTCTTCCTGACGGGCATCGAGGGCCGCAGTCCTCAGGAGCCGCCTGAGGGTCCCCGGGGCTGCGCGGTCCCTTCCCCAGCCCTGTGAGATGACAGGCCCGTTGTCACCCCCGAGCCTCAGTCTCCTCATCCGTGGAACCGAGGCTGGCGGGGGAGGGGAGGAGGCGGAGGGTGACCATGAGAGTGAATTAGACCAAGAAGTGCCCAGGGCCCGGCCTCAGAGGCCTTTGCCTGGGGCCGCAGCACCGTGGAGCCCCTTCCCGGGAGCAGCACCTGCCCCTCCAGAGGCCTTGCTGGGGTCGGGCTCCCCGCTGCCTCCCCTGCAGGGGTGGGTCCCGCTGGTGAAGGGACCTCGGGCCAGCATGCCCTCTATCTGAGCCTGCTTCCCCACAGGTGAGCCAAGAGCCACAGCGGGGGCAGGAGAGGGGCCTGCGCCAGGGACGGGTCCTCCTTACCAACTTCTTTGGCCCCGGGTCAAAGGCAGCCTTCTAACACCTGCTGATGGTCAGCGCCTGGAGGGGCATTTCCATGGAGGGGTTGGGCAGGGGCAGCCTCCTGTCAGATGGACTTCTGGAACAGGCCCTGCTTCCTGATGCTCAGGACGTTCTGAGATCTTGTTTGTGCACAGATGTGTGTGCACAAGATTTGAGTGTGAACAAATTCTGTATATGTGTGGGCACTGTGCACATGGACACTGGGCGAAGGTGTGGACACAACACGAGTGTGAACAAGTGTGTGAACACAAGGGTGTGTATGCGTGTGTGCTTGGATGAGAGCATGGGGATGATCGCATGTGGTAGGAGTGTGTGTGTGTGTGTGTGTGTGTGTGTGCGAGTGGGAAGGAAAAGGGAGCACCAGCAGACCACCATGCATTTGCTCAGATCAGCCTGTGCCCAGTTCATACTTATCGTCACCATGGCCTTGGGGCCAGTGGCATGTGCCCATTTCACAGAAGCCGGGATTTGGACAGGGCTTCTCACCCTGCTCCTAGGACACCTGGAGGGCAAAGGAAGCCAGGTCTGGCCCTGCAGGTGACTGCTGGCCACAGCTTAGGATGGAAGGCACCGTAGTCTTCAGGCCCCTTCAGAAGGGACGGATGTGGCTGGCTAGCCGATGGGACTGTCCTCTCTCCTTGTCCTTGTCCTCTCTCCAGAATGCGGGCAGTGTTTGGAGGACAGCAGCCACTTGGGGACCAAGCTGAGGATGGGGAACCTCTGCCCCAACTGCACCCCAGCCTCACCGTCACGTCACAGGCCCCTGCCTCCTTCCTGCTACTACGGACACCATTCCCAGCAGATACACCTCTGTGCACCTCGGGATGGACCCGTCACGCTTTCAAGTGTGTGTCCTGCCCAGGAGGGGCTTCTGGAGGGCAGGCCCGGACATTTGTGCTTACATGGAGGCACGTGACGTGGCCTCAGGGAGCAGTGACAAGTGTGTGAGTGAGCTCATGAGCTGTACCTGCAGGGCTCACTTTTCACATGGTGCTCCCCGTGTCACGGGTGAGGCAGGCCCAGGCACAAGCTGGGTAGAGGACTGGGCGAACTGGGAGCGTGGGTGTGCCCAGGCACCTGCTGGGACAGGGCTGGCATGGGCCCGCACACGGCCCGCGCCATGTCCCGCCGACCCTCGGAGACCGGACTTGTCACTGCACGGGCCTCCTTGGGAATCAACTCCATCGTGAGACTTGTAACAGCCTCCCAGGTATTTGACGCCAAGCAGCAGTGGCAAAAAAAAAAAGTAAAAGCAAATCCCTGAGTGTTGTCTTTGCTAATCACATCCTCAGTGAGGGATTTGTTTGCCGCCCCTCCTGGGAAAGGGCCTGCTCATCCCCCAACCCTGAGGGAGGAGGCATCTCCACGCCCCGAGGAGCCCGTTCTGCCTGGCTTCCACACCCGCCCCCAGGCCCCCTGGCAGTGTCCCCCTCCTGTCTCACCAAAGCTTCCCCTGTTCACCATCATGTACTCATTCAACAATCTTGGCTTCCACTGTCAGGCAACACACTGGGCCCTGGGGAGACCATACAATTAGATTTGGTTGCTAAGGACAGAAAACCCCAATAACATTGGCTCAGACGGGATCAGTGTTTATTTACCTCTAACACTACACCTCTGAGGCCAGATAGGTGGCAGGGCTGCAAACGGGACCTCACAGTCCCCAGGGCCCCAGATTTCTTTACTCCAGGTGTTCCTCCATTTAGGTCTTTGGCCGCGTGGCCATCAGGTCTGCTGTGCAGACTGCTGGAAGAACAGGACCATGGGGAGGCTACAGGCACACTCCGACCCCAATCCTGCCCATTGAAGGACACCTCCTAGATCCCCACCCTCTTGGCCAGAGCTGGGTCCCCAGGCCCCTGCAGCCGGCAGCTCGGGGGGCGAGGAAGTGTCTTCCTCCTGGAGGCTAAGCTCCCAACTGCCCTCTGGGCCCCTGGGCCTAATCAGCGGCACCGCTGACGGGCTCACCTAGCCCACCTAGGTGAGCTAGGATGGGCTCACCTAGCAGCCAGACCTCTGCACCACCACTGATGGCAGAACCCCTTCCGCTCCACCACGTGTTCTGCTCCTCATCCCGCAGGTGGGAAACCTGGCCAGGCCAGAAGGGCACACACAGGGCCGCTAGGCGCTCTCTGCGGGACGGGGTCGTGGGCGGAGGAGGCAAATCCCCGTATGCTGTTAGACGTAGGAGTTTGGGCAGAAACTGACACAGGAAGTGGATGTGGCAACCTTCTTCAGCATCCATGTCAGGTTCATGCTGTTCCTGCCTGACAAACTCCTACTCATCCTTTAGCACCCAGCCCAAATGGCACTCAGTTTGTGTGGCAGACCCCGGAGTGGTGAGCCGGGGACCCTTGCTGGGCACATGGGAGGCCAGTGATAGCTCGCGGTGAGAGTGAGTGAGCGGGAAGGTAAGCTAAGAGGGGCTGTGGCCGCGATGCTCGCTGATGCTGATTTCTGTCCCCCTGGACGCGCCACGGCACCCGGCCTGCCTGGCAATGCGGTGTCCCACAATGGCCCGTGGTGGCCCCAGACACAGGACCATGAGCAGAGCCAGGCACCTCTTCCTGCTGCCTGAGCCGGCCCTGCTGTCCTTCCAACCGCCCCGCAGCAGAGGGTCTCAGCCTCTCCAGGCCTCCCGCTGATGCCCCTGGGGCCAAAGGAGGGAGGACCAGGCAGGTGGCTTTCTTAGGAAGTGACTGAGTTTGGGAGGACGAAGTTTGGGTTACAGGAAGTGGACAGAGGCAAAGGCGCCGCCCTCTGCAGGACCCAGGCCTCCATCTTCTTGAGCTCCAGGCGGCACCTGGGGGTGTGGGGACAACGCGTCAGGCCAGCACCATTTCCCAGGGGCTCAAGAAGGACAGGACTCCTCATCACGGAGAGTGGGGGTGAGGGCTTAAAAATCAGGGGCAAGAGAAGTAGGTGGCAGGGGTGTGAAGGGCAGAGGCGGGCCCCCCTCCACCCCAGACTGCTTTGGGCTCCTGTGGGGGGCACCCACGGAGCATTGTCTCAGGGTGGGGCTGGAAAGGCAAGGCTGGAGACTTCCCATGAGTGAGGAGCGGAGCCCGGGCCCCCAGCGGGCACAGGCCCGGGGACCCTCACACTGAAATTCACCTAGCTACAGCCTGCAACCCACTCTGATTTCCTCCGAGGTGCTCTGCAAATGCGGCACATCATTCTTTTGATAACGAGGGTCTGTGTCGGGACAGGCAGGATCCATCTTCCCTCCCCTGCCCCTCGTATCCCTCCAGCTGAGCCGCCAGCCCCCTGGCCACGGCCAACCAGCAGCCCCAGCTTCCTGTCAGCCCTGTAGCACCTTCCCCAGGGTGTGCAGCTTGACCCCTGGTTCTACCACGTGCCTGCCAAGAGGCCCCGCAAGTCACACACCTGCCCTGAGCCTCAGCTTCCTCATGCGTGTGGGCGGCACAGACCATAATGTGTCCGGCTCTGTGGAGGTAACAGAGGCTTGAGTGGGTCATGCCTGGAACGCCTTTAGAGGCCCTCAGCCCAGGGCCTGGCCCACTGGGAGCCTGTGGCACATGTGAGCTCGTGGTGCGTCTGATTTATCATTGATATCTCAGTGGGCACCTGGTACTGCTGCTAGGAGCATGTGGGCAGTGCCCGCAGAGGATGTCAGAGGAGCAGAGGGGACGGACGGGGCCAAAGAATCAGGTACGGAGCCATGAGTCTGTTGTTAGAAGGTATGAGAAAACAGTGCACGATCTGAATACCAGGGTTTCAGAAAGGTTTCCCAGAGAAGGGACATTTGGGCTGGGTGCTGAAGGATGAGTAGGAGTTTGTCAGGCAGGAACAGCATGAACCTGACATGGATGCTGAAGAAGGTTGCCACATCCACCTCCTGTGTCAGTTTCTGCCCAAACTCCTACGTCAAACATAGCATATGGGGATTTGCCCAACCCCCACCTCCCTTCCCCCTTCCAGACACCCATACGCACAAACGCAGTCCCACACACTCACATTCTCACACTCACAGAGGCAAGAACTGACTTCAGCACGCTACCCCCACCCCACCCAGGAACCCAAGCCCCCCTCCCCCCACTGCGGCTGCGGGGAACCATGGTAATGAGATGCTAATGAGCAAAGGTAAAAATCACAGAGAACAGCATTTTGCAAAATCACAACACTTTGTACTTCCAGGGGCTCCCTCCCCGCAAGCATGCTGCCGAAGCTCACGACCGCGCTGTGCGTAGGCGGAAAGCACCCGTCAGCCCCTCCTCCGGGGTTGCTGATGGGGTCCAGAGGTGGCAGCGAGGGGAG